TCCAGCATTTGAAAAGTGACTTTCAAATGTTGCTGTTCAGTACATTATCCCTGTGGTATGTTCCACACTTTCACCAAAACAGGCAGGGATACAGAATCTGATGTATCTCCATAAATGTGTGTGGGGTCTAACAAGAACAGCTCCACAGAGTACATGGTGATTGACATACTGGAACACTTCAAAACCTGTTCCGTAAGCCGGACTTAGAAGTCATACAAACACCTTCTTAGGCCTGCATTCCCTCAATTCTTGGTGGAAGGATTTTCTTTGCGTTGTTAACAGGGCCATTTCCTGGAAAGCTTTCGTGTTATAACCACAACTCCTCATAAAAGGAACCTTCTGCACGACAAGATATCATCAGAGAAATTCAAACTAAAAACAGGTAGCACCAACTGTCCATGTTAAACTGGCTCAGGTCAAGATAATATGATACATCCATATAGATAATGCAATTCACAAAATGCAACACAAGGAAGACTCAAATTTTGTGATATTCATAAATTACCAGTTTCACATTTATACCTTTTGGACCAAATGCATCCCAACTTAATTGATGGTTTAAAGAAAGATAATGACTTTTCTATCTATCAAGACCAAGTAACAGTTCAATATATGTACATACTGTATCTGTATGTGTTTAGCTGATATAACACTTTAGCATAACACATGTGGCATGGCACATTCATGTGGCATGGCAGTGGCTGGTTATATTACACTGAACGACCTGTTACAACTAACGTTTGCACATATATTCTCAACATATACTAAAGACTTTCAGCAATCTTTACCTGATCCCTGTTGACTCAATGTCTCTAGCGCTTTCAGCATGGAGCCGGCGAAGACGTCTGCGTCCTCTTTGCTTCCAAAGTTGAGACCGTAGACCTGCCGTGCGTCGCGCCATTGGTGGAAGGTGGGGGTCGCCTGGTTGTACTTGAGTCCCTTCAGTATTGCACAGTTTATCACAACCTGGATGGACAAGATAAGAATGATTATAGAACAAACAGATGTACTAATATCAAAATTCATGATCATAAGGCGGCAAGGTCTACCAATCTTGTGCTTAGGATTGTTGAATCAGAATCTAAAGGTTCTGGGTTCAAATCACTGGCAGTCCCCAGTGTTGTGTTTCTGGGACAGGCACTTTATACTTATTTCCTCACTTAACTCAGGTGAGAATGAATACCGAGCTTTGGTTAGGGACATCCTGTTGGATGGGACGTAAAGCTGGAGGCGCTGTGTTTAAGGAAAGTCACACTTCCAGAAACACCTGAAGAGCCCCAATTTTACCTGCACTAACCTGCATATACAGGTGGGATTTCGAGGCCTGTCATATACCACTTGCAGCTGGAAGCTAGAGCTGTAGTGGATCTTCCTCTGACAGCCATGGTGCATTAGCAGTGACATAATCAGCACATAATCTCTAATGTCTGTCAAACATGCTCCTATCAACCTTCCTTTATACATGGCTTTCATTGAATAAACAGGCTGAAAAACAATAAATGATAATTTTTTTCCAAGCTACATTTGTGGCTTGCTATAAGGTAATTGCAGACAGTACAAGACTCTGTAGAACAGTTTTTATATATCATATTTACATTATCTGATCAGTATCATTCTCAAAACATCGTTCCATATCATTTCTAGATTGGCTTGGCTCTACTGGGCCTGCCGACACCCAGACTAAGAAAGATGATGGAACTTAACTTGAGGTAAGATAAGCAAGGATCAATGGCAATCAGTACCATAACGGGATATAAGGGAAGACTGTGAGGGGCGAAATTTGTCTTATCAGTCTGCACAGGAGGTTTCCCTGTCACCCAAAATATCTCTAGTGCCTTGCCTTCATCAATTTTATACTGAGTGCTTTCATGAATACTCCAAATCTTCAATCTTACTGTCATTATTTTGAATTACAATGTAGGTCACCTACTTATCACTGTCAAATAATAATTCAAACTGCCAATAGGGTATGTCATAAATGATCATGTCTTCAAATAACTCATAACCGTTCTGGCCATAAACATTAAGTAAAAAACTAATATTCAATATAAAAATCATATCACGGTGATGAATAACTTGCATGGCCTACAGGTATGACATATCTTATAGTGTGGGATCATTTAATTTTCTCCATCCAAAATATTGATAAAAAGCAGGTAGATAAGATAGCAGCATATTTATTCATTTATTCAGCTACAGTTATACCAAGATAATCTACTAGTTATTTTGCCTTTAATTTGATCTACTGTTTCGACTTCTTGTTGTTGTGATTTGATGTCTAGATAAACATACATTACTGTTACACTAACTTACATTGATTTCCTTCAATTAATAGTAACCTATGATTTCTACTTTATGATGATAGTTCATAGATGTATATTTTAATTGACTTTTGTTCTCATGGTCATATTGTGTATTTTATATCAGAATTCTCCCCTTAGAAGTCAATGAAGATTGCCAATAGGCGACATACATTTACATATCCTGGTGAAATAAAGCAATTATGAACTATGAACTAAAAATCTGTGTATTTGGGCCAAACATGAATTTCTCTTTCATGTAAAGCGGGTCTTTGCATGATTTATCCCTCTTGGGCTCCATACCAGTCATCTGTGCAGCCGCCTACTTGGCACAACCACGCATCCCTCTCCTTCTTACATGGAGTTCTGAGCAGTTCACGGCCGACCATTCTAACCAACCCACAGCTATACAATAAAGGTATCATTAAGGGATCACCACAGACAGGCAGGCTCATATATCAGTCTGCTGGGGGAGCCCACATAGACAACCTCCGGGAACCAGACACTGATGGGACATCTCCCTGTATGGCTGACCTCTGGTGAAATTCAACATTGTAGTCAAGTCAGCAGACAGGTCTTATAATGAAAATGGCTAATGTCGTTCAAGACGGAAGTGCAAAGTGTGAATATTTGATGTTTTGTGCTCTTTTTGTGAGGCATAGCAAACCTTTTTAATTCAATGTAAATTGCAGCCAGCTGCTTTAATTTAATGTTCTTGGGAATTCTATGTGAAACGTAATTGGTTGCTTTAATTCCACATTCCACATTATTATGGGTTCACCACACCACGAAGTGGTGTGGTGAAACCATATTGCTTTTTCTGATGTTTCTTCTTCTCCTCCTCCTCCTCCTCCTTCTCCTCCTGCCATTTTTTAAATGGATTCAGCTTCTTCATTTTAGGGCCCAAGGTCCTGAAATTTGGTATGGAGGTACAGTGGGCAAATACCCCTAGGCGTTTTTTAAATTATTGTGATACAGGCTTTTAGAATGGTTTTATTTGAGTTTTTTGGCTGTATTATAGCAAATGTATTACTGTGTCAGTGGGCAGTGTTAACCACATTTGGCATGAGTCATCACAATGGAATGCAGGGCATCAACCAATAGGCATGCAGCTTTCCTCTCTTCTTCTTGCTGATTGGCTGTTGGGATTTAACTTGATTAACACCTGCACAGACCATTTCCACCTGCACAGAGCATTTCTTGCTGATTGGCTGTTGGGATTTAACTTGATTAACACCTGCACAGACCATTTCCATACTGACAGTATGTCTGTATTCAAGTGTTTTGGTAGGTATTTCAAGCTTTCCTGCTCCAGCATTGGAATGCGGGGCATGAACGTTTTTTTATTTATTTTGAAAATCAACAGTTTGCATTATGCAATTAAAAATCCTAACCAATAAAGTAGGAAATAGCTATCCAACTGTTGTTTTAGTTGTATGTTACTTCATATTATAGTTATATCAATGTAAATCATTGTTTTCCCTTGTGTTTCTCATTCTTTCCCTGCCATGACGTCGTAAAATGTGGTGAACCCATCGCTGTATTTGCTCCAAAGCAAATATTGGCCTTTCTAGTTTGTTATTGTTGTTATTGTTTAGCTTTATTAAAAATTCTTTGTATCTGAGTCGAATACTGTCCTTTGGCTGCCTGATATCCTACGTACACAGGTAGATAAGTGTATGTAGGTTTTATCATCCAAGAATCAGTTTCATCTATTATAAAAGAGGACGATGATTCACTGTAGTCATATACATGTGTTTGGCTGACAAATATTTATGTTATCTGAAAATGAATATTAATGGTGCCCACTACATGGTGACTAAGTATTAAAGTATGTCTGACTCAGACTGTTTGAGTCAGTACTTTATGGCTTTATCTCCTGACCTTCATCACGGGTTCAAACCGTTAAGTGAATTTTAGACTTTGACATTTTGGCCTGACATGGCAGGGTGATGGTTATGATTATCGATTAAGACAGTGTAGTCATCAGTTGATATAACTTATATTCTGCCATGGAATGAAAATTTCTGCCAATGCTTCGTTGTATAAAATAAAATGATTCATTGACTGGAAACCAACTGATTCGTTACTCAATGAATTGATAACCGCTCTGAGTCACAACCTAGCTACAAGTAGGCCATTTTGGGCACCATCAAGAATTGGTTGAAATACGATTAGTTAACAAACCATCGGCCTAATTTGTTGACAGCCAGAAGATTGACGATTTTCAAAATCTAACAGTTGAGTGTATTTTTGGCCTGAAAATTTACAAGACTCTGTGTTTTGCAGGAATCCATTGATCTCTAAAAATCCTGCAGTGACCCAGAGCACAGTGCCGTAATACTGCCATAAATGTCATTTTGTGCTCTCTGGCTTATCGTGCAAGCCTTTTTCCTGCTGTGACCCCAAAACGAGGCCTATGTGACATCTTTCTCACAAGTTACTAGTACATTGACCACAAGTTTGCCTGAAACGGGAGGGAATGCTACCATGGAAGATAGGTACAGTACATGTACATGAGTACATCAGAAGAATATACTGCACTTGCACGAAACCTCGATTTTTTCAGTTCAGTCAATGTTGCATCAAAATTTTACACATTACAGACGATATTGACACACCTATAGACAACATGTCATCCTAAATGTGTCAATACGACCTTAAAAGAGACGTTCTGCCGAAGTACTATGCAAAAAACATTACGGGTTTCTCACAGGTGCAGTACGTTCCACCAACGTGCCGGTGTGCTAGTTTGCAGGACTTATAATTACCTGGTGGTCGTTCTGCTTGCGTCCCACGACTCTGAATGTGCTGTTAACCTGATGATGATAGATGTGCACCCGTGAGATCCCCGATGAGCCGCCTGCCGGTATCCACTTCTTGTTGCCGTCATCATAGATCATCACCGAGGCACGTGCTTGTGCTATAGACACCTCACTGGAGGGACACACAGAGGAAAATTAGTGTCTTATATCTTATACTGTATTTGTGTCTGCATGGTGTAGCAGTCTCTCTTTCTGCATACTCATGACGTCTGGTTCGAATTCCGTGAAGCGAGCACCCCGGGTTTGCGCCTGGTCTGGACAAGACTGGAAAACAATCATGGTAGCATCCTAGCTTTAGATGGGGTCAGATCGAGAAGAGTACGGGCGACCTGGTTTACTTGGTGAAATACGGGAACCATAACAAAGCTGCTCTAGTAGCTAATTGAAAAAGCAGCATGCTTCTTTTGTCTCATACTTACATTATACTAAGTTATAATAGTATATACAGTACTCTACTGCAAACAATGATAAGAGACTTATTGATTAATCCCCGGTACAATGGGCCCGAAGAAAATCAATACACAAATTTAAACTACAATGTATGTACGACTTATCATTCTATAAACGTCTAGGAAAAACACTATATAACAGAACTTGTTGCTGTTTACATCCTATTTCGATATAAAGAATATTCCGATAACTGATAATCAAAACACAAAGAACCTGACTTTCTTTTGCTATCTTACTGTTTAAAAAATTGGGTGACTCATTAGCTATTTAGATATCATATAAGATGTGCTTCTATACCATAACAATTTGTCCCATCCCCCGCCCCAAAAAAATAACACCAAATGACTGCCATTCAATAAATAAGACTAAGAGGTCAATCTTTGACTTCCTACAGAGTTGAGTGAAAAATGAGTGATGACAAATGAATGCAGCATTCATTGCAGTCACGAGTTCCACTGCGATTCCCCTTCTACAAAACAGCTGAAGTTACCAATTTCACCCAGGTCCAGTCGTGGCCCCTTACATTGATTTTCAATATAACTTAGCAATAGGCCCTATGCCAAGGTGTTATTTTACCTTACACAATTTTATCCCAAATCCTAGAAGACCTGAAGCCATTTCAAGTGTGCTTACTGTATTTCCCCTTTGTACCCCAAGAGACAATTGCTTGACAGATAGTCGACTTTATGAGGAGACAGTATTGAATATACAGGCCTGGGGGAAACTCAATATTCCTCTGTTAGTGTTAGATCCTGGCACTTGAACTGTCATTTCTGGTGCTATCACCCTGCGGTGCCCAAGTCTATCACTTCTTTATTATCCAATCGCCAACAATCAGTCCTCACTGATAGCCAACCACGGTAAAGCCCAGCCATCAACCTACAGACCTCCAAAAGCAATTAGGACCCATTATTTCCAAAGACCTCAACTGTTATCTGGTGGGGCAATCTAAATAAACCTCAGGCAAGTACTACATCACTGATCCTGAGGAATAAGATAAAAGCACAAGTGTGTTCCAAAAAATCCCTTCTGATAAGGTTTTACTGGTAGAGCCAGACTAGACTGAATTATACTTTACAGGGGTGATCTGTATTCCTACAGCCCATCCAAATTTTATTGGGATACAGCGGTAAATCTGTTGGCCACTTTTACATGTCAATCCAATACATCAGAAGAGTGTTCTGCGCCTGTGTGAAACCAGGATTTCGCATGTTTTTAGTTGTCTGTTTGGTCAATGTTGTATCAGAATTTTGCCCGTTGCAGACGATATCTTTTCCCGACACAACATTTGAAAGCTATACACAAGATGCCATCCTTAAATACCTGAATACGACCTTAAAAGCGACGTTCTGCCAAAGTGTTATGCACAATACATTATCATGAGTTTCTGGCAGGTGCAGGTTCTGCTGACATGCTCCTCTGTCTAGGTATCACATGGACCGGTGACACAATAAATTTCAGTTTGTAACCTTGATTCCATTCTTCCCCGGATGATGCAACTGAAGAAAACTTGAGAAAAAGGTTTCTTACATTTCTGGTATGGTAACATAAATCCTTCTGTAGTATGTATGCATTCAAGGTAATAGGTTATTGGTTATCATTAAAACTAACTGGATTTCTCTTAATATGTCATTTTGACAATCATAATCAACAATTGTGTCAAAACTTTCTGGTGAAAAAAAAAGAATTAATGGTAGAATATAAATACATTGTATGAACATTAAAGGCCCCCAAAACGATTTCAGAACTGGATTTTCAAATTCAATTTTCGGGATGTTCTGGCCATTTTCTGCAGTACCATAAGTTGAAAGAACGTTATCCCATAGCACACTTATATCTGTGAGGCTAATATGTGATGTCGCTGATGTCGCTGATGGACCTGTCACTGTATGTATGATTGAGAGAAGTAACCCAGCCAGTTGGAAAATATTTATATCTCCTGCTTAGCAAGACAAATGGGAGAGATTAATTAGACTTTATAGAACAGCAAGAGGATCCTTTATAGCTTTGATTTATACTGCTTGTCAGGTACTGTAAATAACTGGATAGTCGCGGTAGCAAAATTTCGCACAAAAAAAACATGATATACTAGTAGTACAAGCCTTGACAGTTAGGTTTAAAATGATTGTAAACCTCCTTGATACAATTGAAAAGTAAATAATGAAACTTGTTGAAACGTAGAACCATTGAAATAGGCAAGAGAGAGATTGTATAGCATACACACAAATACACAAAAAAAAACATGGAGTGCTGGCTGCAATGATTAGACAAAAAGCTAACCATGACAAACCACCTATAATGTACAACCCTGTTTTTCCTGGACCATCATGCAGAGGCCACTTCAACTGTTCCAGGATGTAGGCAACAGGATTTCTCTTCAGAGAGGACCTTGGCTACAAAAAATGACCGCCTCAAATAGAACTTTGAAAAAGCGGAAGCAAATCTACAACTGGCAACTGTAAAATTAAACATAATCTTGATATTAACACTAATTGGAGGTAAAATAATTCATCAGAGAGCTAACATTTATTGACCACCTGGCCGATGTTATGCTTCACATCACGTTCAGACTGATCCCTTTATGACTTCGCGTTACCTGACTTTTTTAAAGTCCCACACGGGTCTCCCACCTTCAGAAAACCTTAGGACATGTACGGTTACCTGCCTGGAGAGAACTGTGAAACTGCTGGAGGAGATGATGTGTAGTGAGCTACAGCAGCAGCAGGCCATCCCCCGGCTACATGCAGGTCCAGCCAACCATGCACAATATTCCACGCCTGGCCCCATCTTCATACAGCCTATTGATCTGCCGCTGGATTTGTGGGGTAGCTACAAGTGCTGTTGGCAACGTGCCACTCGCACAACTAGCACAGGTCAGACATGAAATTAATGGCAGGGGGGATTACAACACTTTTCTTCAACATACCGTTCCGCATATCCATCGAACAATGAAGTGACTGTACCTACTGTCAATATCAGGCACTTTCACAAGGTATATACTGTCTGTATATACTTAATACCCAAAGCTATCACTGAAATATAAAACCTAGTCTTATTGTTCAGATTTATAACTTTTTCTTCTTAGGAGTAATAAAAAATTGCAGCACCTGAATCCTTTTTCCCAATTCAAATCATAAATTGAGCTCGACCATAATGTATATTTCAGACTTTTTTTACTGGTAGTAGACATTAGCCAGAGAGGATGAGCATATTTTCAATTCACATGGCATGCAATGTATGTTCCTCCAACATGACTTCTTACCATCTCAAGTACTGACATTCAAACTAAGAATAGCATCACCATAGGTTTCGTCAGTAACAAGGATGGATGAATTACTGTTACCATAGAGTGATAAGAATCCAAACTGTTAAACATTTTGTCAAGAGTACCACTTATCATTTTCCTGCTGCAGTGATGACATGCAACATCAATTTTTTGAAAACGTCAAGGGTTAGAGAATATTTGGGCAATTTCCATTGTGAAGCCAGCAAAGCATCTCTGTTCCCCAAAGGGTGATTGGACTTACCGGTAGATTCCATTCTATTTCAAACCTGACTGCTGGATATATGTGGATGATGGCGTTGGAAGCCGTAAGCAATTGTTTCAAATGCAGTATTCTCACAAGGCTGTTTGAGTGTAGGAGCCCCTTACAATTTGACTTAGACCCCCTATGATGTGACTTAGCCCCTTACATTGTCTTTCAACCAGCGTAGGGTTGTTTTTTTTGGGGGGGGGGGGAGAACCCTGAGACCCTTCAATGGCCTTTATAAATCTTTGATTTTTTTAAAAAATTAAAATTTCAAACTTCAGAATCAAGCTATAACGTTAACAGAGGAAAAACATAACTTCATAAAATGTGTCCCCAAATTTTGATGACAGCAATGGGGGAAAGCTAAGCACCACATGATCACACTATAGTAAGGTCTAATTATAGAAAGCAAAACATTAACAATGAAACTAAACACTATAACTAAAGAAGAAAGGATCTCTACCTTATAAGTTATACAAATCTAATGGTTAGAAGAAAGGGGGTCTCTATCTTATATAAGTTATAAGTTATACAAAATGGAATCTAATGGTTAGAAGAAAAGGGGTCTCTATCTTATAAGTTATACAAAATGGTATCTAATGGTTAATCCATCTTTTTCAGGTGGCATATTGACATGAAGATTGATATATCCCTGCAGTGTAGATATTGGGCTGACCTGGCTAAAGGTATCTACATCCTGTATACCTGATGAAAAGGGAGGAACAATGAATAGTTCTGTCTATATCTGCCCTGGGGGTCAAAACTACCTGTTCCCTCTGCAAAGGACTCTCATAAAAATCTATTAATAATAGGACAGGGGTTTTGATTATCGGTCAAGAATAAAAGTCAGCGACCTAACACACCAACTCTCTGGCCCAGCCAAAATTTGATTGGTTCTTTTAACCTTCAGAAATGGTAGTAAGATTTTTATTCTGGGTAGAAATAGATACAAAAAAATTGCTTTACAATGCAGTTTTGTAGGATTTTTATTCTGACAGGAAAAGATGCTCATAAGTCTCATCTTTTCGTAGTAGAGTGATATACAATTTTACTTTTAGGCCACACCAATTTAATTTGTTGGTTCTCGGATTTTTTCAGAAAAAATATGAAGCGACAGGGCGAAAAAAAATAA